GCACATAATAATACACAGGATCGTAGCAGATACGAATTTCATACAAGTTGGTTTTACAAAATAACTACTGCTATGTAATCACAAGATTAGCGGAACGTTAACTTAGCATTATCAACCCTCATCCCCTAAAGGGGAGTATGCTTACTATTTAAAAAATGATTGACTGTAACAGTTGCGAACTTTCCCTTCCTTTGCATAAAATACATAAACAACAGGATTATGATAGCAACTAAAGCTTTTGCTGCACAGAGCGCTACTACCCCATTGGCGCCTTTTAATTTTGAGAGAAGAGATCCGGGCGCACATGATGTACAGATTGAAATATTGTATTGCGGTGTTTGCCATTCTGATATTCACCAGGTACGTAATGAGTGGGGGAATTCTGTATTCCCGATGGTGCCGGGGCATGAGATAGTAGGCAGGGTTACAAATGTTGGTACACATGTGACCAAATTTAAAGTGGGCGACCTGGCGGGTGTGGGTTGTTTTGTAGATTCCTGCCGTGTTTGCGATAACTGTAAAGAAGGTATTGAGCAGTATTGCGAAGAGGGTATGAGCGGTACGTATAATGGTTATGAGCGGGATGGTAAAACGCCTACCTATGGCGGTTACTCTACACAGATAGTAGTGGATGAACAATATACTTTACGGATCTCTGATAAACTGTCATTGGCGGGCGTTGCACCTTTATTGTGTGCAGGGATCACTACCTATTCTCCTTTGCGTTATGTTGGCGTGACGAAGGGACATAAAGTAGGTGTATTGGGATTGGGTGGATTGGGCCATATGGCTGTTAAGTTTGCTGCTTCCTTTGGAGCAGAAGTGACTATGCTGAGCGGTTCTAAATCAAAAGAGGCGGACGCCAAGAAATTAGGTGCGCATCATTTTGCTTTAACATCTGATGAAGCTACTATGAAGGGTTTACAGAATCATTTTGATTTTATCCTGAATACCGTGTCTGCTCCCCATGATTATAATACTTACCTGAACCTGTTGAAGACAAATGGTACCATGATAGTAGTGGGTGTTCCACCGGCTCCTGCACAGGTGCCTGCTTTTAACCTGATCATGAAGCGCCGGAGTATTATCGGTTCGCTGATAGGTGGTATCAGGGAAACACAGGAGATGCTGGATTATTGTGCTGAACATGGTATTACTTCTGATGTGGAGGTGATCAACATACAGAACATCAATGAATCGTATGAAAGAATGCTGAAGGGTGATGTTCGTTACCGTTTTGTAATTGATACCGCTTCATTGAAGTAGGATTGTTCCCGCAGATAACGCAGAGGAAAGAAACGCAGATGTACGCGGAGATTATTATATAGTATATCTACAGACCGGCTGAATTGTTCAGCCGGTTTTTTATTGGAGGTATGGTGGTAAGAAGGAGGATAGACAAGGTAGTTAGAGATGGGGAAGGAAAGAAAGTTGGGAAAATGCTAAAAAGAAATGCTAAAAAATTTGGAAGATACTAAAGAGGTTAGTAAATTTGTGTTCAAATCAGTTAATATGAGTTATGCAGGAAAAAATCTTCGCTATCTGCGTAAGCTACGCGGATGGACACAGGAAGAGTTTGCCACTAAGCTTAATATCAAACGTTCTTTAATAGGCGCCTATGAGGAAGAACGTGCTGAGCCCAAACTGGAAGTATTAGAAGCAATGGGCAGTATTTTTAAGCTTAGCCTGGACGATCTGTTGCTTAAAGACCTGTCTGCCGTTAAAGGTGCCAGTTACCTGGAGCAACGTCGTAAGTTAAAAATGGCAGCCTCTTCCAATACAGTGCAGTTTGTACCTGTAAAAGCAGCTGCCGGTTACCTGGCAGGGTATGCAGATCCTGAATTCCTGGACGAACTGAACACTTTTACATTGCCGATGCTGGCACCGGGTGATTACCGTGCTTTCGAGATCATCGGTGATAGTATGTTGCCTACCCCAAGCGGTAGCGTGATAGTGGGAGAAAAGGTAGATGACCTGGAAGATGTTAAGAACAGCAATACCTATGTTGTGTTATCCCGCAATGAAGGTGTGGTGTATAAACGCATTATGAAGAACAACAAAATAAGGAATAAGCTTACGCTAATAAGTGATAATCCTGTTTTTGAGCCCTATACGGTGAATGCGGAAGATGTGCTGGAAGTGTGGAGGGCGGTGTTCATTATGCAGAAAGCAAATACTGCTCCCCGCTGGGACGTAAACCAGCTGGCAGGTATGGTGAGTAACCTGCAAGACCAGGTGAGCAGCCTGAAAAAGAAAATGAACTAGGTTTTATACTGGGGGTTTGTAAGTATAACGAGGTTGCCATTCCTGGCGACCTCTTCATGCATATACCTTAATAGCGGTTCTAAAGGTATTACAGTGCGCTTCTACAATGGTTCTGATATCGGGTGAGTAACCACCTCCCATTGCTACCGTTACCGGGATATTATATTGTTGTAAGAGGGAGAATACCATTTCGTCTCTTTGCCTGCATCCTTCCATCGTTACACCTAATTTACCAAACTTATCTGTTGCCAATATATCTACCCCTGATAAGAAGAAGGCAAAGTCCGGCTTCACCGTTTGCAACAAACCAGTTAAGTGTTGATGGAGTAATGATAAATAAACAGCATCTCCTGTTCCGTCTTCGAGGCCAATATCCAGGTCACTTTGTTCTTTGTGAAAAGGATAGTTGTGCGATCCGTGCATACTGAAAGTATATACACGCGGTTCTTCTCCAAATATTTTGGCTGTTCCATTGCCCTGGTGTACATCAAGATCGATGATCAATATTTTACCGGCGGCTTTGTTGTGCAGGAGATCATTGGCGGCTATGGCCATATCGTTTAATAAACAGAATCCTTCTCCCCTGTCTGCAAAAGCATGGTGTGTGCCTCCCGCTACATTTAATGCTACGCCATATTCCATAGCGTATGTACAGCAGTCGATCGTTCCCTGCGCGATCATTAGCTCACGTTGGGTTAACTGAGGGGACTGTGGGAACCCGATACGCCGTTGCTCTGATGCGGTTAAGGTTTGATCAAGCAGTTTATCTAAATAAGCCCTGCTATGTGTGCCTGTTATGATTTCCTGATTACAGGGTAGCGGAGAAAAAATATTCTCTATACCAATGCTACCTTCATATAACAACTGCTCCGGGATCAATTCGTACTTGAGCATGGGAAAACGATGTGTTTCCGGCAGCGGATGTGCAAAGAGATCATTGTATGCAATCTTTATCATACCAACCGTTCCTAACATTTACAACTATACAACATTACTGTACCTGCCTGATCGCATTCCACATTTGGTCAGCTACCAATATATTCCCTTGTGGGTTGAGGTGTACCCTGTCTACAGTGAGAATGCCTTTCTCATTGTTGAGAGGATTGTGTTGTAAATTGTATTCGATAAATGCTTTACGAAGGTCTACCAGTGGCAGGTTATTGGTTGCGGCGAAATCCCTGATCCATTTACTGTATAAGTTAAGATCACCATCCTGTGCATTGCTGTTATCTGTTCGTTCCCCTATTACAGAAGGGGTACATACTATTACCTTAGCGCCTATAGCTTGTAGCTTTTTTACCATGGCTGTATAAAACTTTCCGTACTTATCGTAGTCGGTTCCCGTGCCGGAAGTTTGCTTATGCCATACATCGTTGATGCCTACATATATGACTACTATATCCGGGGATTTTGATAATACATCTTCTTCCATGCGGAGGTATAAATCATACACCTTATTGCCACTAACACCTGCACCGATCAATTGGTATTTATCCTCAATTCCTTCGTGTTTTAATATACTGTCAATCTTTGTAATATAGCCACCGGGACCTGCACCTTGTTGTGTGATGGAATCACCAAAAAATACGACCTTTTTCCTCCTGTCGTGCTTCCAGGACATTACTATCATTCCGCATACAAAGAGAGCGATTAAAAATATTTTGCTAAACATTCCTGTTGATTTGTGTTAAAGGTAAAGACTAATTGTATCAATGTGGGGGTGGTTGTGTGTGAGTAAAGGCTGGTAATAAAGCCCGGCTATCCGATGATCCCTATATTTTTTTTGGAACATTTTGGCTCCCCCCCTATTTTTGCACCCCTAATCAGAAATGATTAGCGCGGATTGCCCGATAGTATAAGGGTAGTACAACTGATTTTGGTTCAGTATGTCTTGGTTCGAATCCAGGTCGGGCAACAGTTAACCCCTCGTTTTACGAGGGGTTTTATTTTTTGGGGAGGGGAATGGCTATTTAGCCGGTGGTTCTACAAAATGCCAGAGCACCCCGGCAATATCTGCTATACAAACTTCTTTGCCATAAGGCTGCTCTACAATGGGCCATACTTTGATACCATATTTTTCCACCAGCTTTTTTTCCATAACGGCATTCCTGAATTCTTCGGCATTACTGATGCCTACAGCCATCATAAAATGTTGTGTGCAGTCTCCGCTATCGTAGTTCTGTAAAAAGAATCTGCATCCGTCTTTTTCAAAGCTGGTATAGCTACCCCCGTCAAAGCTGATATCGAAACCCAGTTCCTGGAACAGTTGTTTTGATTTTTCATATTCCTTACCGGAGGGAACAAATGCCCGAATGTTTAAAAAATTCATATTGGCCTGTTTTATGGTGTTTTAGCCATTTTTATTTTTAGGCTGACGATTAAAAATAAGAAAGCTGCCATATACTATTACCAGGGGCATACTTTTTTATTATCTTTAATGTAAATAGGCTGACAGGTGAGTATATGCACTTTGTTGTAAGGCCTGTTTACCCGTAGAAAGCAACCCTCAGACAATGTGTTTACAGATATTGTGATAAATGTCATTGTTCCTCTCAAAAAGCATTAATAAGATTTGCCGGGCAGATACGCTGCCTTTATTCTGCATCATTAACCAGCTTACTTAAAATTAAACATATTATGATTGCTACTGCAACATGTGAGGAACCGCTTAACCAGGGAACCAAAAATCAATCTCCGGATAACCAGACATTTTACGATGAGGTAATGCAGGGTTTGCGAATGAGCCCGAAACAACTGCCTTCCAAGTATTTTTATGATGCCATTGGTGATAAACTTTTCCAGGACATCATGAACTGCGAGGATTATTATTTGACGCGATGTGAAATGGAAATCTTTACCCAACAAACCGGGCAACTGGTGAATAGCATTATGGAAAGTGATGAACCATTTGACCTGGTTGAATTAGGCCCGGGCGATTGTACCAAATCCATACACTTATTTAGAGGGTTGATAAAAGCCGGCGCTGATTTTAATTATCTACCCATCGATATCTCGCAGAACATCATTCGTCATTTGGAGAAAGAACTCCCGGAATCAGTTCCTGGTATAAAGGTTTCAGGATTGAACGGGGAGTACTTTAGCATGCTTGAGCAATTGAGCCATCAAGCCGGTAACAGGAAGGTTGTTATGTGCCTGGGCGGTAATATCGGCAACATGACTATAGAAGAGAGCCATGCTTTTTGCAAGGGTCTTCGCCGGTATCTTACCCCGGGTGATATGCTGATCATTGGATTTGACCTGGTGAAGAATCCTGCTGTTATCCGGAATGCTTATGATGACAGGGAGGGTATTACAAGACGGTTTAACCTGAACCTGTTGCGGCGTATGAACCGGGAATTGCATACGGATTTTAGTATCGACAGCTTTGAACATTATTGCAGTTATGATCCGGAGACAGGCGCGTGTAAAAGCTATCTTGTTTGCCTGGAGGATATGCAGGTTCATTTTCATACTGAGACAGTGTGTTTTAAAAAGGATGAGTGTATATGGATGGAGATATCCCAGAAACATACTGTTGAACAAATCGATCATATGGCAGCTACTAATGGGTTTCAACGCTTCCGTTATTTAACGGATAGCCAGAACTGGTTCGTAGATGCCATATGGGTTGCGAACTAATCATCACTTCCTAAACAGGTATTATTCCATGAAAAAATATGACGCTATCATTATAGGTTCCGGCCAGGCCGGAACACCATTGGCGAGACGATTGGCGGGTAAAGGATGGAAAGTGGCTATTATAGAGCGGCAATATACAGGTGGTACCTGTATTAATTATGGCTGCACGCCTACCAAAGCAATGGTGGCATCTGCTAAGAATGCTTTCCAGGCGCGCAGGGCCAGTGAGTATGGTATAACAGTGGGTACGGTTTCTGTCAATCTGCCTGCATTGATAGCAAGAAAGAATAAGATCGTTACTGATTTTCGTAGCAGTACTGAAAGAAGTCTTGTGTCCATAGCTAATATAGAGCTGATCTACGGAGAAGCTTTTTTTTCCGGACCTAAACAAGTTACTATCTCTTTGAAAGAGGGTGGCAAAACCACTTGTACTGCAGAATATATTTTTATCAATACAGGTGGGCGTACGGCTGTTCCTGCTATTGAGGGCTTGCAAAACGTGCCCTATCTTACTTCTACCACTATTTTGGATGCTGTATCTATCCCTGCGCATTTACTGATCATCGGCGGTAGCTATATAGCCCTTGAGTTCGGGCAAATGTTCCGGCGCTATGGCAGCCAGGTGACCATACTGGAACACTCTCCCCGCTTTCTGCCAAAGGAAGATGAAGACATTGCAGATGAAATGAAACGAATTTTGACAGAGGAAGGCATTACCATACACTTAGGTGTGGCCATTCAAAAAGTGGCGCAGGATACTAATAACACTGTTACCATCACTATTATCATTGATGGAAAGGAACAGATCATCACAGGTTCCACACTGTTACTGGCGGCAGGAAGGGTGCCTAATACAGACCAACTACAGTTACACGAAACGGGTGTTGAAACAGATGAGAGAGGATATATAAAAGTGAATGATCGATTAGAGACAGCTGTTCCCGGCATATATGCCTTGGGTGATGTAAAGGGAGGCCCTGCTTTTACACATATTTCTTATAATGATTACCTGGTTGTTTTTAAGAACCTGGTGGACCATGCGAACATCTCTGTTACAAAAAGGATGGTGCCCTATTGTATGTTTACCGATCCGGAACTGGGCAGGGTGGGTATGAACGAGGAGGAGGCTAAAAAAAGCGGGTTGAATTTTAAAGTAGCGAAGCTGCCTATGGCGTATGTGGCCCGTGGTGTTGAAACAGGAGAAACAAGAGGCCTGATGAAGGCGATAGTAGATGTTGATACCAAAAAGATATTGGGTGTTGGCATATTGGGTGCACAGGGCGGGGAACTGATGTCGCTATTACAAATAGCGATGCTGGGGGATATTACCTATGAGCAGTTGAGGGAAAACATTTTTTCTCATCCTACTTATTCGGAGTCGATCAATAATTTATTCATGGCTTTAGATAACCATTAACGAATGATCAGCATACAGAATGTGAGCAAATCTTTCGGATCCACTATTGCTGTGAATGATATTTCTTTTGAGGTGAAGGAAGGAGAGAATTTTATATTAATAGGTACCAGTGGTTGCGGGAAAACAACCACGTTACGGCTGATCAATCGCTTGCTGGAGCCTGATAAAGGAACCATCATTGTGAATGGTAAGAACGTTTTTGCAGAGAAGCCGGAGATACTGCGACGAGGCATTGGCTATGTTTTACAAAACAACAGCCTGTTTCCACATTATACCGTACGTGAGAATATTGGCGTGGTGCCCGGCTTATTGCAATGGGATAAGAACAAGACAGGTGAACGCGTGAATGAGCTGGTTGATAAACTGCAATTGCAGCATGACTGGCTGGATAAATATCCTTCGCAATTAAGCGGGGGGCAACAACAAAGAGTGAACATAGCCCGCGCATTGGCGGCCTATCCGCCTGTACTATTGATGGATGAACCTTTTGGCGCGCTGGATGCTATTACCCGCACAGCTATTCGTAAGGAGTTTGCTCACCTGGATGAACTGACAAAGAAAACCATTGTGATGGTGACCCATGATATTGCGGAAGCTATTGAACTGGGCAATACGATATGCCTGATGAACAATGGGAAGATTGTGCAGGTTGGCACACCTGCACAATTGCTTAACGAGCCTGCTACTGAATTTGTAAAAGATTTCTTTGCGAACTATAAACTTACTGCACGATGAAAGAGCAAACATTGTGGCAATTCATGGCGGAGCAATCCGGTAAGTTATGTGAGCAAACCCTGCAACACATCGGGCTGACTTTTATTTCACTCTTTCTTTCTATACTAATAGGGTTGCCATTGGGTATACTGATTGCACATCGCAAAAGATTATCAGGCATTGTACTGGGCATTGCGGGTGTATTACAAACCATACCGAGTATAGCATTACTTGGCTTTTTGATACCATTGGCCGGTATTGGTGCCAGACCCGCTATTATAGCCTTACTATTATATGCATTACTGCCTATTATTCGTAATACTTTTACAGGTATTACAGGCGTTGATACAGCCATTAAAGAAGCGGCAAAAGGCATGGGCATGAATGCCATGCAATTACTATTTAAGATAGAGCTACCCCTGGCTATGCCGGTGATACTGGCAGGCATTCGTACGGCTACCGTTATCAATGTGGGCATTGCTACATTGGCTGCTTATATTGCGGCAGGTGGCCTGGGTGAATTTATATTCGGGGGCATATCACTGAATAACAGCAATATGATATTGGCAGGCGCTATTCCTGCTGCTGCATTGGCCATCCTGCTGGACTTACTGCTTTCCGTTATACAACGGTTCAATATAAAAAAACTTCGTTTGGCTATCATTCTGTTGCCTGCACTTACATTGGTTTTGTCCTCTTTCTATTTATTACCTGCTGCTTATGGCGGCAAATTACTGGCTGGCTTTACACCTGAATTTATGGGTCGTGAGGATGGTGATATAGGGCTTCGAAAACAATATGGTCTGGCGATACGAACAGTGGTGATCAGTGATGCGATTATGTACCAAGCGGCTTATGATAAAAAGCTGGATGTGATCAGTGGTTATAGTACGGATGGCCGGTTTAAAAGCTTTTGACCTGAAGATACTGGAAGATGATAAACATATTTTTCCCCCCTATTATGTAGCACCCGTAGTACGGGAAGAGGTGTTGCAGCAATACCCGGAGCTGGAGGGTTCGTTGAACAAGCTTTCGGGATTGATCAATGATTCTATTATGACGGATCTTAATTACCGTACTGATCACCTGAAACAAACACCGGAACAGGTAGCGAAGGATTTTTTACTGGCTAACAAATTGTGGAA